CATATACAGGTATTTCATGATACTATAGTGTACTGTAAGATACTGCAGTGTACTGTAAGACACTGCAGTGTACTGTAAGACACTGCGGTGTACTGTAAGACACTGCGGTGTACTGTAAGATACTGCGGTGTACTGTAAGGTACCGCGGTGTACTGTAAGACACTGCGGTGTACTGTTAAGATACTGCAGTGTACTGTTAGACACTGCAGTGTACTGTAAGATACTGCAGTGTCTTACAGTACACTGCAGTGTACTGTAAGATACTGCAGTGTACTGTAAGATACTTCAGTGTACTTTAAGATATTACAAGTGGTACAGAGTATTATATGATTTTTTGGTGAGGCAGTAAAGAGTTAAAAGTAATCATTAGTCACAATCATCACTACTTGGGTAACCATTAATTATTCAGTACCAGCAGCAGAAAATGGTACAGACTAACTCCTGGTGTGTTTGTGTTTCAGGTTTTCATCGACAGGTTTAGGTACAATGCAAACAGAGCGGCTCAGGTGCAGAGTAAAATCAAACTGCTGGAGAAGTTGTGAGTACACATACACACTAATAAATACACACATTTTAACAAAACGCACACACTGTGTGTAGAAGCTTCTGTTGTGTCTGATCCTGTTGGTTTCCTACAGACCGGAGCTGAAAGCCATCCAGAAAGAATCAGAAGTCACTTTAAGGTAAGAAGATCCACTTCAGTCCGGACCGGTCCAGACTAGGGATGCAAACAATTAATCGACTTACGATTGATTGTTGAATAATGGTTTATTAGATTAAAATTCCTTCCGTTCGATTAATTGAAAACATCTGTTTAAACCTTATTTCGGTGTAGTTTTGCCTTCTTCCAGTAGATGGCGCTGCTGCTCTCAGCCTGGTCTAACTCTACCCTGGCCCGTTGAGCTGAGCAGAGAGCAGCGTCATAAATAAACATGCAAATCTTGTTTAGTTTCATTTGTGACACAACAATAATGAAAGAAAAGTACTGAAGACTGTACTGGACCATCCAGCAGTACGACGCTAAAGACAAGAGAGCAAAACAACAGATAACGCTAAGCTAACTGTAGCTAACGTTAGCTTCTTCTTGTAGAGTTTAACTTTGTGTGAAAGAACAAAACAAAACAAGTTAGTCACTACAAATAATTAACATGAAGTTAATCTCATCTGTGCAATGTAACCTGACCAGTGAACAAATCAAATGAACAAAAACTGATGTCAGATCAGCCCAGATAAAACCACAGAATGTAAACAAACAGTTTCAGTACTCATTTGTATGTTCACCACTCTCAGGTCATGTTCTTAGTTTATTTTTGAGTAAATCTTTAGATTAAATGTTATCCTGTGTTTAAAAGTTAGTTTAAAGCAATTTAGTGCAAAGAATTAGCCCTTCATGTTATAAAAAGACCCTTGATTCAAGAGAAATGTCAGGTTTTTAGGAAAATGGCYGCTTATCAATTAATCATTGGTCGATTGATAAGWTCARTCAACTTTAGATTAATTCATTAATCGATAACTTGCATCCCTAGTCCAGACTGAAGCTTCAGGGTCAGAATGAGGGTCACCTGGTCCACCTGGCTGATTGTTATGTGTGGCTGCAGGTTTCCTGATAACTTTGAGAAGTTATCTCCTCCCATCCTGCAGCTGGATGAGGTGGAGTTCCACTACTCACCTGACCAGCCTCTCTTCACCGGACTCAACCTGTCAGCTGACCTGGAGTCTCGCATCTGCATCGTACGTGTCCTCCTCTGATCAATCAGTCAATCAGCAGGTACTCGTTRACCCAGRGCTTCTCAAATGTTTTGGGTCTGGGGACCCCTCATCAAGGTGACCCCCTCATAAACCCCCCTGTTGTTTTAAAATAGTTTACAGTCATTTGACCTCCTAAATGCCATGAGAATATTAGCTTTTCTTTGGTTTAGTTTGTTTGTTCTACTAGTGAATTGTTCCTTTATGCATTTTTTTAAATAAAAATCAAATGAACAATTTATTGAAATTTTTTGAGGACCCCTAAGATATGACTYGTTGACCCCTGCGGGTCCTGGGACCCCAGTTTGAGAACCTCTGTGTTAACCGATGACATCACTGCAGYGCTGAGGTTGTTGTTTCACAACAGGTGGGTGAAAACGGCGCCGGTAAGACCACCATCCTGAAACTGCTGATGGGAGAGCTGACGCCTGTCAACGGAGTGCGACAGGCTCACAGGTGAGGGAACACATCCACCAATCAGAAAACAGAGGCTGAGTGGGCGTGGCCTCTGAACCTTTGGCTGTGTTTCAGTTCGAGGGCCGGGTCCTGCTGGGTGTTTACACGTCTTTTTACTGGAAGAAAACTTCACAGTTAAAACTTACAAGTAAATAAGTAAATAAAAACATTAATAATTCAGGTTTAGCTCCAGTATCTACGACGCAGTATTTGGGCCACACAACGAGATTTTTATTATTATTATTACGACAATGTAGGAGGGGGCTTAAGGTGGCGTTAAGCTTCTCCCACATCTCTCATACACAAGGTTATGAGGAAACTTTTACCAAGGTATTTCTCATTACTTGTTAATATCTTGACTGTGCGAAGTGAAAAGTGACACAATAAGTGAACGTTCAGACGAGTTCAAGTTGATTCATAAAAGACTATGCAATAATTTATTTACACAAATTGAACAGATCGTAAGTACACTTGATTGTGGTTATTCCTATAACAAGTGTCAAAGTTAAATGAGATAAAAACTCGTGTCCGAATTTCAATTCACATCAACTTAAATTACTTATATAGAACAGTAAAACGTCAGTTCTGATGTTACAACCAAACAATTTTACTGGCACTTTCAGCTTAAGTTTTGGCAAATAACTTTTTAATCGGCTCGCTCACTGTTCCTTGGCGAAAAGGTGTTTTCCAGGTAAGTTTTCGTCTGTTTCAGTCCAAGCCAGAAAGATTCAAGCTGTACATCCGGTTTCTTCTTTCAAAATAAAATCTCCCCTCGGGAGTTAAAAACACACTTAAGAGACTTGAAGCCTCGGGGTGGGRCTGGCTGGCGTGCCGAGTCCCGGCTGTTAGGTCTCCCCTAGTTAGCTCATGGGCTAAGACCTAAAAGCCAAACTGGCTTCTCCAGAGAGAAACTCAGCTGTCTTCCCAGGTTGGAAATCAGGAAGAAGAGTGTTTCGCTTCAAAGACGTCCGGGTTAGTCAAAGAAATGGACGATCTTTGGTTCCGCCCGTGGAAGAGAGGGGTTCTCTTCCACGGTTAGAATGACCTGTCATGGCCTAAATAGAGTTCAGTTTGTGACAGAGTTCCTGTCCTCTCATCAGGCCTGTCCAAGGCCTGCTTCGAGGCAGTAAATCTTGTTTCTTCATTCGAGGTGAACCCTACAACAATAAAGTCATAATTTTATGAGATCGGCGCGGGGCGGTGACCTATGAGGGGTCTTTGAATTKAGACACAGCCTATGATTGAYCAGTTCTGTCCTCAGGAACCTGAAGATCGGATACTTCAGCCAGCACCACGTGGACCAGCTGGACCTGAACGTCTGCGCCGTCGAGCTGCTGCTCAACAAGTTTCCCGGTAACCACGGTGACGTCAACATGCCCAGCAGGTGTGGCGCTGGGATCTGATTGGCTGTGGTGTTTGTGCCGCAGGTCGGACGGAGGAGGAGTACCGCCACCAACTGGGGGGTTACGGCATCTCTGGAGAGCTGGCCACAAGGCCGGTGGCCAGTCTGTCAGGAGGACAGAAGAGCCGGGTGGCCTTCGCTCAGATGACCATGCCAAGGTAACGAGGTCACAGGTCACCTGAGGAAGAGGAGGAGGAGGAAGAGGAAGGTGATGATGTCGTTTCTTTCTTTCAGTCCCAACTTCTACATCCTGGAYGAGCCCACCAACCACCTGGACATGGAGACCATCGAGGCTCTGGCCAAAGCTCTCAACAAGTTCAAAGTAGGTGTTCCCTGTTCACCTGTTCACGCCCACCTGCTGCCTCTCACCTGTCTGATGTCACCTGTCGCAGGGCGGAGTCATCCTGGTGTCACACGACGAGCGCCTGATCCGGCTGGTGTGCAGGGAGCTGTGGGTGTGTGAGGTGGGCAGAGTTCACCGCGTCGACGGCGGCTTTGAYGAGTACCGAGACATCCTGCAGGAGCAGTTCAAGAAGGAGGGTTACCTGTGAGGCTCCGCCCACCGCTGACTGGCCACGCCCTCCCATAACATTACGCCCCTCACAGTGATGCCGAGACCAGCAGCCAATCAGATATCAGAGCTCAACCTGTCATTCAGATGACCTGTTGCAGGTGATTGGCAGTTCGGGGGTCACCTGGTGAGGTCACTTGGTGAACTTAGGAGGAGGAACGACCTCAAAGCTGAATCCGTTCAGATCTTTGAACTTTTGAGATTTAAAGGACCAGACTGTCGATCAAACATGATTTAACTTTAAGAAGAAAAAAATAAAAACACCAAATTATTTGTTCACTTCCTCTTCCTGTTTTATTCTACTTCCTGTTTTTCTTTTTTTCTGTTCATCTTTCAACTTCCTTTTTCTCTTTCTGGTTTTCTTCTTCTTCCTCGCGGTGAAAACAAACTGGTTTGAYGGTCACCTTTTCCCTCAGCCAATCAGAGGCCTCCGCCTCTCCTCACCTGAATGAACCARCAGGATGAAGACAAAGTGAAAGGTGGTGGTTGGGCAGGATGTTCTGTTGGCTCCGCCTTCCTGCCTCGTTTGTAGAAAGTCATCAGGTTTCTGATAAACTGATGAAATTCCAGCAGAAATCATTTTATTTTGAAAGTAAACAACAGTGAGCATCATGACAGCYGTAAAATATATTTAATAACTTTTAAACTCCTAAACAATCATTCCATAAACAACTTCCTGTTTACAAAACTGCTGACCAATCAGAGCTGTTAGCATGTTGAAAATCAGGTATTGTGATTGGCCAAATAGTTTACAGAGCAGACCCTGAATGTAACAGAGCTTTATGCTGTGTTCACACCGAACGCGAT